TGAAGTAGCCTGCACTGTGCTTCTCTCCCCCTCCCACTAGAAGCTCCTCTCAAAATTGTGGCACCGACCGGTGACAGAGCCGCAGCAGAGGGAGGAAAGAGCCACATGCGGCTCCAGAGCCGCAGTTTGCTGTTCCCTGGACTAGGCAATCTCACTGAGATTTCTGAATCTGAGGAATCAAGCTCTTGTATAAAATCAAAAACCAAAATTAGTCATGCTTACCTGCTTAGAACTTTAATCTAAACTCAATTTTGTATTGTTATGTCTCGTCTTTTTTATCCCCCTGTCTGTACCTCCTTCCCTGATTGAATTGTGAGCTGCCCTGAGTCCCCTTCGGGGAAAAGGGCAACATATAAATGTAATTAATCAATCAATCAATCAAAATCATTCAAACGCTATGATATGTCTACAAAGATCAAAATTATGCAGTTTTCCCTGTGGTAATCTAGGGAAGCAAAACTTGGACTCTGAAGGAGCAGACTAGAGACAGCATTGAACTTTAGTGTCTATGGCGATTCTCAGTCATCCAGGTCATGGTTATCCCAAAGGTGCTTTTTCAAAAGGCAGCTGGACTTTCCTTGAAGGTGCTTTGCTTCTCATCCAAGAAGCTTCTTCAGTTCTGCCTGAAGGGTGACGGATGAAAGGATTTATATTCCTTGCAGCCATCTGGTCGTTAGCATTCTTTCTGAGAATCACTGAGGCCACTTGGAGGTTTATCTGTGACCTCAGCGTCACCTGAGTAGTGCAAATGAGTGTGGAACCTTCTTGGAAGTGCTGAAAGGACTGAACTTTAGTATTGAAGAAGGCTCCTGAGCATACTGTGGATAACAGGGCTGGGGGGCACGACAACGAACAGACGGACAATGACGTATAGAGCAGAGAAAATCAATCCAGAGTTCTTGTCCAAGGGACACAGGACCAAATTCAAATATCATATTTTGGACACATTACGCTAAGACCTACTGTAGATCTTTTAGCATAATATGAACTCCCAGGAGGCGATAATGGGGGGAAAGGTGGAAAGAAAAAGAATTAGAGGACAACCAGTAGTAAAGTGGACGGTCTTAGTTGCAACGGAGATGGGATGACCTGTTGAGTGAGCTACTCAGATGAGCTTTGAAAGGTGACCTGGCCTTTAGATGGAAGCATTTTGCTATTCCTTTCCATATATTTATTCGTTCTCAAAACATGGCAAAAAATAAAAAACTCCAATCTCACCTGTTTTTTCTGGAAAGTTATCATTTGCCTCTGATTCCTTAGAGTTCTACAAAGAAAGAAGAACAAGGATTGGTTGGGGCAAGACGTTTTTTTAGAGTGTTCAGAATAATTCAGCAGCTTTTCACTTAAAGAGTGGACTGTACTAGCGTGACCCGATAAATGACAAAAGCGCGGCGATGAAACTGTGGCAAGAAAACCACAACATCATCAATGCGCCGACAACAGCACGATTTAAGTTAAGGTAAGGCTTAGGTTCAGGGTTAGGTTTAGAACTCGCGGTTATTACTTGTTCGCTGAAGGCGCGCTTTTGTCGGCGCGCTGTTGTCGGCGTGCTTCTGCGCTCATTCGTCGGCGTGATTCAGAACTCGCGGTTTTCTCGCCGCGGTTTCATCAGCGCGCTTTTGTCGAGCGCGCATTTGTCAGTGAACCCTGTGCTTGGAATATATCTAACCCTCAGTTTACGATGGGCCACTTAGAAACCATTCAAGGTTACAATGAACTTCCTTGGGGGGTTCCCAAAGGTGCTTTTTCAAGAGGCAACTGGACTTTCTGGTTTTTCTTTGAAAACGTTTTGCTTCTCAAGCCAAGAAGCTTCTTCGGCTTCTTAGGGGTATTTATAACCTAATAAAGTTAGCGGAGATGGTCAAATTGACTGCTTTGATTTAAAGAAAAGAACACAACAAATTTTCTTTCTACTTGGAAACCATTTTTGGACTTTGTGCTTGTGGTGGGGGAAAAAATGAAACTTTCGACTTTGGGTTTTCTTGATTAGAATAGCTTTGATGTTATAGAAACTGCTAGTTTACATTATTATATAAAAGTAAAAAGTTGAGATCTTGTTACTAACATATTCTTTACCTTATTTAAGCATTTACTTAAGGACTGCCACAAACAAGGTCATAAAATCAAGTCAGTCACATTTTATGACCATCACGACTTACAGCCTTAATGGGCAGGCTCCATTACAGTGGTAAATTGAGGACTACCTGTACTATAAATGAGCCAGTTTGATTGCGGGGTTATATCAAATATGGGCTGCAAGAACTGAGACAACTAGAGCGAAGCAAAGATGCAGAGAAAAAATCTCTGAACACTTTGCTGTCACCCCATGGCCACCTAGATTTTTGCAGCCCAGGAAGGCTTTTCAAAATAAGTTGGAAGCAATATGTCCCTTGAAAGAACGATGATTCTCCAGATCCCTGATTTACACAAAGTATAATGAGTCTAACCATTTATTTCCTAATAATGTCAATGTATGAAAGAAGATGTTTATATTATTTGTGGCTTGAGCATACAAACCAGGGTTATCTTCGGGAGGTGGTCTGAGTTGATGGAAGGTGCAGTTGGACTGTTACTCTGACTATTGTCCTGGAAGCAGCACAAAGAGAAAGAGGATTATTTCCTGACAGTTAGAACAATTAATCAGCAGAACAACTTACCTTCAGAAGTTGTGAATGCTCCAACATTGGGAGTTTTAAAGAAGATGTTGGATAACCATTTGTCTGAAGTGGTATAGGGTTTCCTGCCTGAGCAGGGTATTGGACTAGAAGACCTCCAAGGTCCCTTCCAACTCATTGTATTTGTATTATTTGTATTGTATTGCATGGCACTGCATTGTATTCTAACATATAAAGAACGGTTGCAGGAACTGGGTTGAGTCCCAATGGGAGTGGGCGGCATACAAATTTTATTAAATTCCAAATATGTCTAGCTCAGGAGTAGTCAACCTTTTTATACCTACCGCCAACTTTTGTATCTCTGTTAGTAGTAAAATTTTCTAACCGCCCACCGGTTCCGCAGTAATGATG